TGCATACGTTATACGCAGCTAAATTAGCAAACATGGATGTGACATACATGCGTGATTATTTCACGCGCCTGGAATTCTCTTTCTCTCTCTCAAATATTTCCTTTTATTCATTAAAATCTCTCCATATTTAATTAATTCCCAAAAATTTTAATTAAGCTTAAGGATGTTTTGTATGTACAATCCCAGCAAAAAGTAGCTGAGAATCGATATTGACGAATATATCCATTTTTGGTATATTTTGAGTAAGAAATTGTGTGGAATATTACAATTTAATCTTGGCTACAGTGCAGAGATGTATTTTTTAAAATTTATTGCGTTTAATATTTATTGTGTTTTAATATTTATTTAATATTTATTTATAATATTTATTTGATATTTATTTAATATTTATTATAATATTTACTAAAATATTCCGAATTTTGTTAATCGAAATGATCAACTTTTGGCAGAGAATTTCGCCTTGTAACAGATACATGGGTAACTTCATTGAATTATATTTAATAGTTTTTAATCAGTTAGTACTTGTATAATATTATTTGACCAAATATTTTCTCTGTATCTAAACTTTTGCAAATTTTAAACAAATTCTGAATATTATTTCCACGTGTTTTTGTCATTTGAATCGACGTGGTTATACGTTTCCCATAAGAACATATGTTAATTCGGTGCAAATTAAAATCCTTATAACTTGTGAACGCTTTAGTAAATCGATTTAAAAATTGTATTAAAGATTCTAAACATATATAAGGACATTCTATACAATTCTCATTAAATTCTCAATATTTTGAAAATAGGTACAAAACATTCTTAAAATCATATAATTTCTTTTTAGTGTGTATAGGTAAAAATTCTCGTGACGAAGCACTCTTTTCGTTCAATTACATGTGATTCTTATTCAGTTTCTTTCTTCTCTTTTTTCCAATTAATCATCGCGTTCTTATGAATGACAAGTTTCCAAACAGGAAGATATTAAATTATTATATTATGTCATGTGAATCAAAATGTAAGCAAACAATGATATCAAATGCAGCGGAACTTTCTGCATTTATCTTCGTGATGTCATCTAAGATAATGTTTGTGTGTCAGTCTTATCGGAAAGGTACCGGCGGATTATTAGATAACTTATATAAATAATAAGAGTATTGTATACATATAAGTGTGTATATATAATAACATAGTAACAGATAATTTATAGATAATAACAGATAATTTATAGAAATTATGTAATTCGAAATTATATATTTCGTAAATTACCAGCAATAAAATTAGCAGAGTTCAAATATTCTTCTGAGAAGAAAATAATTATTTTAATAGTTTTGTTCAAGTAACATTAAATCTCTAAGAACTTATCTTTTAAAAAGAAATAAAAAACAGCACCAAGTTCACGCACTAATTATATTCAATATTATTGTAATGTCTACAAAAACAGTATAAAAAATTGCACCAATTAAGAATAAAAACTTGTACAAGTATAAATAGAAATTGAAAAACTCTTTCTGTTTTACAAAATAGTTGTTTTAATTTCCAAAAATAATAATATTAAAAAATTAATTTAAAATTTATTTAAAAATTGAGAACTAAAATTTAATATAAAACAAAAAAATTTTAATTAAAATACTTGGCGCTGTCAATTTTATTAGTATATTGTTCAGCTTATAAGTGTTATTAATTTCTAAATATAAATCAATATATATTAATTAAAGAAATTAAATAACTAAATTTAAAAGTTAGACTAATAATTAGAATTAATAATTAGAAATGTGCCAATTTTTTAAATATATATTTAATTAGAATATGTGCCAATTTTATTTGCAGAGCCAAGTTTTTTTAATTAAAATATTTTTACTTTTTTGTTTTATATTAATTTCCAGTTTTTAATTTTTTAATAAATTTTTAATTTTTTATTGTTATTATTTTTGGAAATTAAAACAACTATTTTGTATAACAGTTTTCAATTAAAATATTTCTATTTAAACTTTTTACAAATTTTTATTCTTAGTTGGCGCAGTTATTTTATGTCGCTATTTTTGTTGACATTACAACAGTTGGATACAATTAGTGCGTGAATTTGGAGCCCTTTTTTTATCTTTCTTTTTAAAAAGATAAATTTTTGGAGATTTTAACTTATAATAAAATAAACACATTTTAACTTATCACTACTCAAAATGCGATTAATTACACATGTCACTAATATCGCAAAGCTATCGCACACTATTTGAAACATATTTTTAACAATTGAAATTATTCATTAAAACAATAATTTTAGAATAATTCTCGAAGAATTCTCGATTCATTTTTTTGTAATGTTTAAAATTTTTAAATTTGCATTAAACAATTTTACAGATATTATTTCTTGTATTAAAGTTCAGATATTAAAAAATTAGAAATGTCATAAAACAAACGCATTTATTTCAAAAATAATTATTATATAAAATTTAAGTATAAAAAGGCCATTTAATTCTTCATAATAAAATTAACATAATTTAATAAAACATAAAATAGGTCTAAAGATGCAAGCCTAAAGGAAAAGTCAATAGAATAGTGCAAATAATGTATATACAAAGTAATAAAATAAGAATATTTTATTAGTCTTACAATAAGAAAAATAATTATTTTTGTAATCTTTAATAAGAAATATATTTATTTTTTATTCAAAAAATTTATTAAATATTTAAAACAAGATTTTAATTAATGTGTAAATAAATGAATTATTTTCATATTAATCATTTATAATCCATCGCGAGAACTTATGTAAATATTTGCTATTTGAAGTGCTTTTTCTCTTGTCCATCTCTGATTAGATATAACTTTCAATACTAATATTAACGATGCATTAAATTAAACTGATGTAAATATTTTAAGAAAGTACAATATCTAAATGAAAAAAAAATCTTTAATAATTTTTGTTTTATTTTTATAAATTATAATAGTTTAATAATTTATAAATTATAAATTATAAATAAAAAATATAATTTATAAATTATAATTTTAATGATAAAGTGTTTTATTACGAAAGAGAGAAAAATTAAAATTTTTAATGTAAAGAGATATTGTATAGTATATATTTATATATCGATATATTTTAATATCAGTATATATTTTATTCATATATTTTAATATATTTTATTCAATCTTAATGAGTTATTCAGAATCGAAGACATAAACAAAGTCGATTTCGATTAATCATAAATAATAATTTATTAGATGGATAATATAATTATCTTTATGAATCAGTCTTACATGAGTCATTAAAAAAAAAATAAATAATATGGCGCATACTGCGAATTGCAAATGACGTGATTCTTTTTTATATCACCCAAGTGATATGAGAAAACACAAAAAACGTAGCAATTATTAAAATAATTATCAAAAATCTGCAATACGTATATATAATTTTCACACATTATAATTATCATCACACGTGCATAATGATAATGCACTATCTACACAAAAAAACGTAAACATATAAGTTGACGTATATTAATACCACGTGTTAATATGTACAGTTTTAAACCGTATATGTTCCGCATTTGCAAATATGTATAAAAGAATCCTTTATACTTTCTCTCTAGATTATAAAAAATTCACTTACATTAAAAATTTATTCAACATAAAAAATAATTGAATTATTTCTTTATATTAAATTCTAGAAACATATAAATGTTCCTTGTAATTCATATTAATATGTATTATTTACAACACAATAATAAATATTGTGGGTACAATACGAGAAAAATTATATTAATTAATATTTTAGCATAACTTCCATCTTTCCAATAACCTTTTTGTATAATGAAAAATACTGTTGCATTTCTCTTGCTGTTTGAAAATTAAATCTGGTTTATTTACATTGTAGAATTTTTATTATTTTTTGGATGAAAGAATATAATTTCAACAATTCCATATTTATAACATTTGTTTTTGTCGCATCTTGTTACAGCCAAGCTGCAGTGATGCAATATGCTGCATGTATTTAATAATATATATCTACATTTATTCATGCATAATGCTATACAGCATTATAACAGATTGCATGCATTTCATCCGATTGACAGCATTGCAATGTCGTTTCACATGATTCATTCGCTTGTCACCCCGATGCGATACTACGTTTATTATCATCGTGTAACCTTGTTGAATGTGTGAAATAAAATATTGCTGGATTATTTTTGGTAAAATAAATTCTTATTGACTCTGTAAAGAAATTCTATGAGAAAAAGTTGCGATATTAAAATAAAATAAAAATATAATGTATATATTGAATATATTTTATTTTCTCTTCTCAAAGAAAATTTTGTTAACTTGTATATATTAAGTAAAAAATTTTTGTTTTATTATTATAATACTACGTAAAGCATATTAGTTTAATTTAACGTTTCGTGAACGATGTGACAACAATAGCTCTATATTTATTTTCTCTATCCCAAAATCACTCAAAAAATTAAGAGATTAATAGTAAGTTAAAAGGGATGAAGAAAAATTTGTTCTAATAATATAATGAATTTCTGCTTTCGAAGAACTTTTATTTTTGTCAAAACAAAAGAATAAAAAGAAATCAAATATTTAATATTTTAATACTAATATTTCAATATTTCATTTACATTTGCATTATAATATCATTTATATTATATTTTATTTATATTTTAAAATTTAAATATTTGTTATTTTAATACTAATATTTTAATCCATATTTTTGCAGTTTAAACGTCACACAAAATGTCGTAAAACAAACGCACGTGCTGACATTGAGAAATCTCAATACCATGATTATTCAAAGTCGCGATTTCCCTGACAAGAAGAATACTTCCGAGGACTCGTTTGCATCTCATTGAAATGAGATGAAGTACGCTTTCGCAGCGCTCACATATCGTTATTTTATCGATATTCCCGCGTCTCTCTCGTACTCTTGCGTCTAATTCGATGTCGCATTAGAAGACGCAGATAACAGACGGGCAGCTGAAAAAGGGGGAGAAATAGGAGGCAAAGTCAAACAGAGCGACGAGAACCTCGCAACGTCAGTCGCGCGAATTACGTTGTGCAAAACCAGCGCGATGCATCGCGGTGCATAAAGGTTGAAAAAAAAGAATAGTTTGACGTCGTCGTGTTTGTCTCGAATCACGCGCACAATCATTTCGCCTACGTGTCACGTCGATCGCCGCTTCCTTCGTAAACGCGCTTCCGATTCAATCTATATCATTAAGGTAAACTCCAACTAAGAGTAAGATACGTAAAAAAAAAATATTCTCATTAAAAGAAATATAGACGCACGAGTGAATTAAACGCAATGTTCTGCCAATTAAAAACCGTTGATAATTGGCGCGTGATACGATCGATAAGAAATAATCAGGAGAGAAGAATTTAATTTTTTACATTCTCGCTACAAAAATGCTTCAAGTAAATAATATTCGATTAATATATGGTACATAAATTCTATTCCAAAAAATTTACTTCAAAAAATATTTTAAATAAATAAGCCTAAAAAAAAGATAATAAATAAAAAGCTGAATAAATAAATAAGATAATAAATAAATAAGCCCGATACTTATTTGCGAAATTAAAAAAAAAATTTACCATTTTCAAAATTGAATTTACATCTAAATCAATTGATGAATTAATATAAAATATAAATAAAAAATTACAACGCTGCTATTAAAACGAATTTGTCAAAAATACAGAATATTAATTATAGTTATAAGAGTAATTCATGAGTTTTCTCTTTTCCAAATATATCTATCGTTTACAACTGATCACAAAATTTAAAGAGTGATGCCAAGGCTTGCTAAAAAGAGATGACCTCACTAACAAATTTCAATGGCCAAGATTCTCTTCGCGCACTGTTTGTGATCCGTATATACAACATTTATATAACTAAATTACGATAACATCTTTTAAAAACACCAATCACTCTTTCATTTAAAATTTCTGTTTTTAAGCAAGGTTATTAATAATTATAATTATAATTTATCTAAAATTCAGTAAACTATGTTCTAAAATATTTATATTTTACATCAACCTCTCTTTTATTTAAAATTTCTGTTTTTAAGCAAGATTATTGAAAATTCCTGTGCAGTTCCCAATTTATTAATTTAATGTACTAATTATAATTTGCCTTAAATACGGTAAATTATATTCTAAGATATTTATTTTTTATAACATACAAATTTATATCCAATATTCTTTTTCATTTTTGAAAACGTATTGAATATAAATATGTATGCTAAAAGATAAATATGTTAGAATATAGTTTACCGAATTTAAAGCAAATTACAATTGCTACATTAATATAAATTGCAACATAAACTGCACAGAAAATTTTAAGTCTACATTTTTAAGTCTACATTTTAAGTCTACATTTCTCAAGCATCTTCGTGACGAGTCGAAATACCTAATAACGTGTTATTTGAGATAAACGCTTTAAATGACAGTTGCATAACGCGCAAAAATAGAAATGTTTTGTTAATGTTTCTTTTTTTCATTATCACTACATTATCTCGAATAATGATTAAAAATATACATTTATACACTTAAGTTTATCTTATTATTTAAATGTACACTTAAGTTTATCTTATTATTTATTTGCATTTACGTTACATGAATGCTAATAGTATTGTTTGAAAATCGGACGGATAAGTTATCGAAATGGGAGAAACTAGAATAATAAGAACTGATAACAGCAATAATAATTGAACATATGCAATTTTAATATAACTTTAAATTTCAAAATTCGTTCTTGTGTGAATATTATAGAATGTAAATATTGTAAGCGTAAGAGAAACATAGGTCGAAATCGAAAGGATATGGCAGGGATTCTTAGACTCGGCGAAAAGAGGCCGAATTATGGCGAAAGTAGGAAATTAAGAATGTTTTGTACCTATTTTCAAAATATTGAAAATTTAATGAAAATTGTACAGAATGTCCTTACATATGTTTAGAATTTTCAGTACAATTTTTAAATCGATTCACTAAAGCGTTGAAAAGTTATAAGGATTTTAATTTGCACCGAATTAACATGTGTTCTTATGGAAAACGTATAACCACGTCGATTTAAATGACAAAAACACATGGAAATAATATTCAGAATTTGTTGAAAATTTGCAAAAATTTAGATACAAAGGAAATATTTGGTCAAATAGTATTATACAAGTACTAACTGATTAAAAAGATATTAACTATAATTCAATGAAGTTAGCCATGCATCTGTCACAAAATGAAATTTTCTGCCAAAAGTGAATCATTTCGATTAACAAAATTCGGAATATTTCTGTAAAAACACAATAAATATTAAAAAATACTGCACTAGCTAAGATCAAATTGTAATATTCTACACAATTTCTTACTTAAAATACACCAAAAGTGGATATTCGTCAATATTGATTTTCAGCTACTTTTTGCTGGGATTATACATACAAAACATCCTTAATTCGCTGAAAAGAGGATGAAGGCAATGACTAGGAAAATTTTGGAAATGATAGAAATGGAAAGGAGAGAGTCGCGATAGAGCTGAGTTAAGCTTGAGATGTGAAAAGAATAATATCTTATGTGTGTAAGATTAAGGGTCCTATCTTATAATCTAGGACGCGAATTAAGAGAGTGTAAAATTGAGAGCAGTTGAATCTTTAAATATATATATTCTTATATACGTTACATATTCTTCTTTATTTTATATTTCTATATTTTCACCTAGCTTACAATATTATATTTATTGTGCTCGACAAAAAATTAAATCCGCCTATAATTTTGCTGCTTAATTGTTTTTAGAAAATATAATGTATTATTGTAACAAATGTTTAACAATATTCCCGGTTTAAGTTGATCTCTATTTTAAGATATAATAAGATATCTTATCTGTGTATGTATTTGACATAAAAATTCAACCTTCATCTAATTTTATTACGTCAAACAAGCTATTTATCATTACAAGCTTCTTTGTGTTACGGCCATTATCTACATAATGAATTCGAAATCCACATTGAATACGAATGTGCTTTAATTTTGAGCAAGCTTAATATTGATTAAATACTGTTACAAGCATTTGTTTAAATGTCACATACCGAAAATTTTTCATCCAAGCTCACAAATGTAATTCAAGATTCTTAAAGCTACTAGATATAAACTAACACAAGTGATATTTATTTTGCTGTATGAAATTACAGTACAATTTCCAAGTCCGTGAGGAGAAATTAACATATTATCAATGGTACCAACGAGATATTAAGCATTCCAAACGCTTAAACGCACATCTGCAAGTTCTCAACTCGTATATGTCAAACTTGCTATATGTGTGGTTGCAGAGATCGTGTTTCGCATGCACAAGTCCTTCTCAGATACGATTTGAATTAATTCGCGACATCTGCTTATTGTTACGGCTACCATTGTATCATTTCGATCGCATAATCATTCATACACGTGTAATGGTGATGCAATAAGGAAATCGATTAAAGGAATTATTAAATCATTCAAAATCAAATTATATAATCACGAGGAAAATTATGATACAAAATATCGATAAGGATAATCGATAAGGATAATCCGAGTAGATGGTATTAATTTATTAATATCATCAAAAAAATGCATGATAATTTCTATCGCTTCTTCCTTAACAAATAGTCTTTAATTATCTGGTGACGTATACAGATCAGTTCTATGCGTCAAAAATGATTGTCGGAGGAAATATTATGTTATCTTATCGTAATTAGAATTCTTAGAATTTTAATTTATAGAGAAAAATACTTAACAATAAATATCGAAAAGAGATTGCGAAAGCAAAATTGTTATTGTCGTCGCTAAGAATAAATCGATTTTAAATTGGTTCGTAAAAAGGAGGCACATAAGTAAAAGAAAGTGTGAGAACGAGATCTGGGACGTCCTGTGAGGTAACAGTTATGCATTGAAGCAAGGATTACAGATTAAGTAACACTACGCCTAATGTCCGTTAATATGTGGTTTTTATGGATGAGAACCTGAAATGCGCGTAATCAACGCAAAATAGTTTCCGCGTTTAAGAATTTGTATTTGCATAAGCATGGAACAGAGGTGTGATTGAGCTTAGTAAGGCATTATCATTGCAAATGTGACGTACATTTATATCATTAATCAATTTACTATTTTTTATTATTTTATTATTAATTTTTTATTATTGATTATTATCGATTTGTACAAAAAAAGTTGTTCTGAACATTTTCCGTGTGATTTATTTAATTTTCCTGTAGACTACATTTATCTTCGAGTAACTTGTTGTCATCGTTAAAGCAAACCGATGTAAATGTTAAGAGGGATTCACATAGTGTCTTTTTCCAATTAGTTCTTTTTTTATAAATATAATAACAAAACAAGGAAATAAAATTTCCAGTTAATTTTTTTTATAAATAATAAAACGAGGAAAAATATCTTAGTGGTGTGATAATTAACTAGGAACATGCATTGAATTAACATTAATTATCGCAATTAGAACTGTAGATTATGAATGTCTCTGATAACCTCTCTCTCAATATATCTTTATTATTTTAATTGAATAAAGAAATGTTTATTATTTTAATTGAATTGAGAAAGTATCTTGTATAGAAAAACATATTTAAAAAATGTGTTTAAAAATATATTTAAAAAATATATTTAAAATATATTTAAAAAGTTAAATAATTATTTTAATAATAATTTTAAAATTATTTATATACTTTAACGAGATATATCAATCATTTATAGATCACACCATTAATTAATCTCTCGCAGAAATTTTTGCCTTTATTATATCACAAAAATGATTTATCTGGCGAAGTATCAATACATTAAAAAAAACAAAGTAAAAAATATTAATGCAATACCGAAAAAAATATCAATACAATCTAAACATTTGTGTTCACAATGATTTCGAAAATAAAATTTTATTGTATTTATTTTATTTAAAAATAATTATTTTATTTAGAAATTATATTATTTACAAGTAAAACACATTTTATTTCTAAATAAAATAATTTTAAAATAGAATAATTATTATCTGAATAATAAATATAATTTTCTGAATAAAATAAGTACAATAAAATTTTATTTAAAAGTAAAATTTATTAAAAAGCAAAAGTAAAATATTACGTTCGTATGCTCAATGTCGTCGTGGAATCATTCGAGCAATTATACAAGACGTTAGGGTTAAGTGAGTGCACATGACTAACAATAGATTACACAATGACTGTTAACGTTTAACAATTATATTACACTATATATACTAGATACACTATAAATACACAAATATATAGTATAAAATAATAGTTAAAAGGTATTATTATCGAAGGAAAAATGAAAATCTTTTAGAAAAAGAAAAAAAAGAACATTAGCCATATAATAAATATCAGCCTTGCAGACTTGATGAATTCGAATGACCGTGACATTAATAAAGCTGCAAGAGACCATTAATTGTAAAAATTCGCGCGATTTAGAAATAATTTAATTATTCACAAACGGACTAATTAATTTTATTTTTTGCAACATTTATCTTAACAGTTCAAATTTATTATAAAAATGTACTATATAAATAGATTGTGCATTGTTTATTAAACTACGTTTACTGGATTAATAAAGTCAGAAAGACTCTGCGTTTTTATCGTTGCACGATTGTATCCATGTAAGTGCAAATAATGACACACACATTCGTTCCTCTTCTTCAGAAACTGCACATCGAGGTGCCACGTCATTCATTCTCAAAATCAGGTCATTATAACTCGTTCTGCTTTTTTATTCTTATACTTTGAGACTTTTTGTGAATATTACTCGCCGTTACACTTTATAATTTATTTAACGCGTAATTGACCGAATGACGATAAGAAAAATATTTATCTATAACATAAATTTACATGAATTGTCGAATGACGGTTTCAACCGACGTTCTCTCTCTCTCTCTCTCTCCATGATATATAAAATAGTACGACGCTTTACAATGACAGTTAATACTGGATACGCGAGCGAACGTTAGCGAATGAAAAATATATATATGTCATATCGGAGATAGAGTTACGAGTGTTAAGTCAATTGTGCCACGTAATGGTAAAGTGAGATTTTTTTTTAAATGAATTGGCATTACAAATATATCTATGCTCGCAATATTTTTTAAGCTTTAAAATTCAAAATATAAGTGACTTGTACAATCTCTTTAGGAATTGGTAAAATTTATTAAAAAGAAAAATAAAACAAGAAAATTTTATTAAACGTATGTCCGAAAATTAAAAAAGCTTTAGAGGAAAATATATTTAGCTTTTTAATTTAATAAATTAATAATCCTTTTTATATAATCACACATCAAAATCTGCTTTTCGTAAATATTCAAAATTACGATCGTTTATTTGAACGCAAATTTTAATAGGATTCTCCAATAATTTTTATTTGAAAAGTTAAGAAAGCCATTTTACGAATAAATATAAAATGTAAAATTTACGAAAAATATTGATTTAAAACTAACGTTAAATTCAAATCGAAACCAAAGTTAAAGTATCAAAAGCTTGTTTTGGTTCAAATTCGAATCAAAACAAACTGAAATGATACTTGAAGTCAGAATAATCCATGATCTATAACAATACATATTTCTTCCGTTAGCATATTGATAGAATAAAAATATCATCCTCTAAAGGTAATTAAAATACTAATTATTAAAAATTTTAATTTTCGGATACGCGTTATTTATTAATATTTTTTAATTTTTCATTCCATGAGTTCTATAAATTCTAAAATACAATTCTCCTTATATTTATAGCTGACATTTTATATAATTTGGAATAATTTCCGTTTTTAAATTAAATTTAAACAATCCAATTAAAAAGTTCCATTAAAAAGTTTTATTAATGTAATATATTTAGGATTAAAGAATTTTAGAAATATCAAATTTGTAAATAAATAATAAAATTATGTAACTAATCTTTTTAAATAAATTTTTGTTTAATGGAAATCAATTTTGCAGCTCAACTAGAATTCGGAGATATTGAGATAGTGATAAAAAAAAGACCAATTTGTGCCAAAGAAGACTACAGTTTCCACGTAAAATGTATATCGATTATTTTATATGATATGTGTATACAATCTCTTGACATATATAATAATCTCGACATCTTAATTTTTCTGAAATGATCGCTGATATATGAAATTTTCTTAGGAAAACGCAATCGTCGGTCAACATGCTGCCTGTTAAAAATCTGGACGCACTGCTAATGCAAACGTACGGTCTGGATTTTCAAATACACAATGTGGAGTGGAAGCACCTAACAGATCCGGGAGAAAACTTCGGCAGTCAAATATTAGCCATTACTGTCAACGCCGAACAAAATAGCAAAAAAAGAACCTTAAATATAGTTGTCAAACTACCACCGAGATCTCAGTACCTGCTAGATTTGTTCGATAGTCCGGCAACTTTCAAGAAGGAACTGGAATTCTACAGCACCGTAGCGCCGGAATTTTTGAAGCTACAAAACGAAAGTGGGATCCCTGAAGAAGCTATAAGCGTAATCACACCGCAATTCTTAGGCGGCAGATTAGGCTTACGAGATCCGCAGTGTTTCGATGAGCAAGCCGCGATCATCTTAGAAAATTTAAAAGACGAAAATTACACGACGCAAGATCGCATTCTCGGTCTAGACAAAGTACACATGGATTTTGCGATCATTCACTTAGCCAAATTGCATGCCATCACGATCGGCCTGAAGCTCAAGAAGTCCGATTTCTTCGAAAATGCAATACTACCCGTTCTCCAATATGCTGTAAACGAGGATGCGCAAAATGGTGTAACGGGTATGATACAGAAGGCGCACAACGATTACAAAAGCATGAAAGAGGCGGAACCTTATCTGGACATGATCGAGAAGACGCTCGAGTACGCGTCACGAGTGACTGTAACGCCGAAAGAACCGTGGACGACATTGGTACACAATGATTTCTGGGTGAACAATATGATGTTTAAATACGATGAGTCGAACAAGCTGATCAATATGAAAATTGTGGACTTTCAATTGACGGTCTACAATTATGGCGTGCACGATCTCATATTCTTCCTCATATCGAGCGCCCGGAAAGATGTGCTCGACAAACATCTCGACGACATGATTGATTTGTATTACGACTCCTTCATCGAGTGTTTAGAATCGCTAAACGTCAACACGAACATATTTCCTAAAAACGAATTTATAGAGCAATTACATCAGTGCGCTCCCATCAAGTTCCAGCAGTGTATTATGATGGTGCAGGTAATCCAAGCGGCGCGTGGCTCCGTTACAGAAACGACTAATACGGCGGACAAAGATGTTTTCAAAGGTGGCATCAATGATGAGAATTACAAACAAAAAATGCTCCACATTTTGTCTGTATTCGAGCGGAAGGGATGGCTTGTAAAATGATTAAAAGCGAGAGACTACTTGTCAAAAATTAGTCCTTTGAGAAAAGAAAATAGTTTCGCGTTTGCCAAAAATAAAATAATTATCGCCAAATAATATAATGATAGTAGAAAAAATGTACGATTGTATTTATAAAAATTATATATAAATATAGATAAGATTTTTTAAGACAATATTAGAATATATTAAGGACCAAAGTTAGGCAGAGACAATCAATATTTCGCTAAGTCAATAGTTGCTAAGATGATATATAAATATTACATGAATAAATAATACACGATAATAAATAATACACGAAAAGTGCAATTTATCTATTACGTTGTATGTTAAAAACATGATCATTATTTACTATATTTTGCTCTGACGTAGAAGTAGAGAGCTCGATCGAGTGTGTAAATATTGTAAATTATGAAATAATACTTCATAATAATTATATACACGATTATTAAATGATTATATAGAATATGTATAATAAAGTAGCAAATGTTTACAATTTTTCAATTAATACAATTCATAATTAAATTTAAAATATATGTAACTGTTTTTTTTTCCCCAAAAATATTACGCGATTTATTAGCAAGATTATTATTATTATAAATTATTATAAATTACCTAAAATTAGCAGTAAAGTAAAAACGGTAAATACTCACCTCCAGAAGATCGGCCACAGTATCAGGTAAATTGAATTCTCTGACAACACGTAGTCGTACTTGCCGATTGATTTCATGTCGCGAAGAAAGTGGCAAGCTTATGGCCCGCTGACAACTCGGCGATTGCTTGAGTTTCTGTTCCCGTTTTAGCATTGCAGCCATTGTTGCAGAATCTGGCACTACAATCAATCATTTTTTTTATTTTTTATTAATCATCAATTAAATCCAAATCATTATTTTGTCTTTTATCGATTCTCTTATTTATATATATATATATATATATATATATATATATATATATATATATATATACAGGGTGTTTCAGACCACCCGTATCACCCATTTAAAAACTAGGGAAGTGGTTATTTCAAAAAAGTAAATACATTTTCTTTATAAATCGGGTGCGCTCTATCGAATGGTGATATTTTCAATTTCTGGTTCCGGCCGGAAATAGACGATTCAGACCGGAAGTGCATTTTTTAAAATGGAACCCCCTATTTTTCATTGCATATTCTTGTAGCTTATCTCGAGAGCTTTCCAAAACACTAATAAATTATTTTTCCATGAAGTACTTTTCAAGTTATGAGGCTTGAAATCATTTCTTAATTTTACATAAACCATAAAATATCTTGTAAAATATATAAATGAGATAATAAATGAGAGGAATCAATTGGTGTAAAGAAAACATACAGTTGCTTTTAAGAAAAAATATGAAATTGTTAATTGCAAATTACATATTTTTCTTAGAAACAACTGCATGTTTTCTTTACACTAATTGATTTCTCTTATTATTTTGTACATAAAAGTATTAAGGTAAGATAATCGAAAAATGAATATTTTACAAGATATTTTATGGTTTATGTAAAATTAAGAAATGATTTCAAGCCTCATAACTCGAAAAGTACTTCATAGAATTCCGGTCTGACTCGCCTATTTCCGGCCGGAACCAGAAGTTGAAAATATCACCATTCGATAGAGCGCACTTGATTTATGAAGAAAATGTTTTTACTTTTTTGAAATAATCACTTCTCTAGTTTCTAAATGGGTGGTACGAGTGGTCTGAAACTCCCTATATACTCTATTCAATATTAAAGATATCATTAAAATGTTTATTTTCTTATATGACTTATATATCAGCACAAAGTTAAGTTTTCAAGATTGGATTTAATATCAAAGTTTTTATAATATGTTATCTTTAGATTTTTGAAACATAATAATGTAATAGCATAATAACTAAATGTCGTACCTGGAAACGCTGCAGCAAGAACATCAACACCAGCGGTACCCATTGCTCGTGGTTTCTCCTCCACCATGTACAGCGCATCCGGTATATCCGCCACGTATCGCGGCCTTCGTAATCTCACTAAATCAGCTTCTTGGACCATCTGTTCTTCCACCAAGGACTAAGCCAATAAATATAATTCAGCATCGATAAATGTGTTTCTAAAAATTTAAAAAGTATCAGCATTACCTTGATCTCTTCATAATACGGCATGAATAGCCTTGGTCTCACGAAAAATCCGTTCTTTTTTCCGCCTCTTATCCAAGCATTCACCCGTAAATTGTCCCTTTCATCTCCTATCATGTGACTCGGCGGAGTTGAAACTAATCCTCTCCTAATAGCCTGAGATTATCAAATGTAATGTAAGTATACGTGTAATTTTTGTAGTTAAAATATTTTGCATAAAAAAAAATAATATACCTGTGCTAATGCTTCGCTATTTGGCGGCAATATATGATCTATTCTGACAAGCGGCAAAAGTTCGCTTAGTATCTCCCGTAATTCGATGTCGCTGAGATCTCTTTTCTTAATACCCTTTCTGGTCACGGAGTGCACGGTATGGCTAAGTAAATTAGGCTCCCGATCCTCCATTCGACGTACTAATTCGTGTTCGCCCCATTTGAGCACTGCCTGCAGTACTTCAAGTTCGCTCGCTTGTAAAAAATGACTCTGTAATACATTCGCTAAATGGGCATGATCTAATTGATGGAGAATCGAGGACGAAGCGATCGGCTGAAATTCTTCTCTCAAGTAATGTAATGCTTGTCTGTGCACCCATGCTGATCCGTGAGGTTGACTGCCCCACCTGTACATATAACACAATTTTTTTCTATGTAACAAACTTCCAATATTCGCAGAAAATCAGTTAATAATAAAAAAGACCTACTTAAGAACAGTCGGTAGCGATTCCAAAGTGAGATATTCCAAAATAAGATCCTCGCAACCTTGCGATAATATATCAAGCTCAAGAAATCGACCAATCTGATATAATTCCATCGCTTCTTCCAAGGGGCTCGGTCGCATTCGACCTGTATGTGTTAGAGCTTGAACCTATAAATTTTAAACAAGAGCATTAGTAACGTATAAAAATAAAGCACAAAATATTTTCATGCCTATTAACATTTTTACCTCTCCCAAGCTACCGGCACTGTTTCCGCAACCACTTCCTCGCAATATTAATGATAAGTCGACGGTATCTAGATACACAGCGTGTAACAAGACCCTGGCGTATCGTTTAGGTATTACACTTTCATCCAACACTATTCTAGTAGGTATATGGAGCGCCCTTTCTGTATGATCCTCGCCCGATCTGGTCCGTCTTTGTATTAAATTTCTAAAGAAAGGAGATCTCGCGGAGAGTATCGCTTTGTGACATGGCAGCTCTAATTTGGGGCGAAATCCATACTCCGAACTTCCGCTATCCGGTCTTTGATAATCGCTGTCCGAGGTGAATACGAGAGCGGCATCTGCATAATCACCAGTATCCAGCAAATATCTGAGATCATGCTCCAATGGATTTGGAGTTCCAAATTCGTCGCCGAGTCGCCGGAGTAGATTCGCTTCCAATGTTGCATCGTGCGGACAAATGTCACCAGTGTAAAGATACCGTAATAACGCTGAGAACATTTGCACTTCGAGATGCGGAGTCCTTAACTCCAAACATATCCTAGCACCATATCCTGCAATTTTTAACGAAATATATTTAGCAATGTCTTAAATAATATTACACTTTATATCAAACAGTAAAAAATTTACTATAAAATGAGAAATCTTATTTTCAGAAAGATTTTAAATTACAACACATATTATTATTAGATACATACCAGGACAACCCGCCAATAGATCCCTAAAGTATGGGCATCTGGCAGAAAGTACGGCTCTGTGAACGGGAAAGCACGCTCCTCTATATACAAGATCCACATCCGAACAATGTTTGTAATCATATAACATTGACAAGTCTTGCTTGAAAGTTGCAGCTGGTGGTCTAGCTAGTTCAGCTTGAACATGAAGATCTTTCAATGCAGCTAATGCCTCATACTCCTCAAGCAGAGCTGTTGCCTCCAGGTGACTCCATGTGGACACTAAATCTCTAATAATTCTACCGTGATCGCACGCTTTAGAAGAGCGGCGTCTCCTAATAAATTTCTTGCGTAATGTTGCAAATCCTGTCATCTTCTTCTTTTTTTCTCTATACATGAATAAACAACTATAGGAAATTTGATGTGCGATCACATTTGTAACTTTCATCTTTGAATAATTCTCCCTCCCTGTTTACGCATTTATTTGAATTCGAAGTATAATATTATAAATTACATATTTCTTTATATATATATATATATATATATATATATATATATATATATGTTTTTTTTCAATATCTCTTTACGTTTATTTCAGATCTTTCTTAAGATAATTATAAATCAAAATTATATAGATATAATATAAAATGTAAACAAAATAAAACATTTCAGTTATTTCGAATGATAGCATTGGAATTACATGAACATTATAATTACATTTATTTAAAGAACACTAGCAGTGAATGGCAGTGAATTAAATATTGATTTGATATTGTAAAAAATATTAATAATGTACCTAACTGCAATGCCATGTTGCTCTGGACTACTTGACGCTGAGAGTCTGGCTGCTTGGACCGAATCTCCACCTACGTTGGTGATGCTTGATGATGCAGAAGCACCCATTCTATGTGTCATGTGAGAGGCATCTCCACGCTGTCTTCTCATAAACCAGGAATCCCTTTTATCGGTACTATCTATACTTCTTATGCGTCTGCGTTGTAACACACACGGTGTCAAAATACGAAGTACATTCATTGCTCACCCAGACGATAGCCTAAAATAAATCAATAGCAATTAATTCAATAATAATCTAATAATAAATTAATAGAGTAGGGCATACTTGCTGCAAAATTAAAACATTCAATCTACATTTTATAATATAATTCTAAAAATATATTATAATCAAATTGATTCAAGATTTAATGCACAAGCAAGTAATTTATATAATATATAATATACCAAGTAAATAATAATCTTTTTGTCTCATTCTTAATTATGTAACTATCTGTATTTGTCTTTTCTTTTAATTTCACGAAATTATATATTACCTAATCATCAATTTTGAAATATGTAAAATTATTATTATTACATTTTTATCTTATTTTCCAAATGTATCAGATTATTCAAATAATTCAACAGACCAACTTATTTGGAGCAAAAATTCAGATCATATTAAAAATAAGCACAGGCACTCAAATATGTAATAAAAATTATATGTAATAAAATATGTAATAAAAATTGCTCAAACCAATTTGAATGTATATATATTGCTTGTGAAAATAATTAACACTCCGACGTGTTTGCGCGAAAACACGTTTAAGTGCGTACACAGAGAAAAATGTATACTGTATTCAAGTAAATATTATTTATTTTAAGTATATCGTAAGTTTGTATATCCGCAAATATATCATAAGTTCACCATAAGCATTAAATTTAATTGAATATATTCTGAATTTTAGTGAGCGCAGTATTTTAGTCAAGAATATTAAATTAAAACAAAAATTTGCTTACTACAAGAGTTGACGTAAAATAAGTTTGATTTTTCCTTGATACAACTTTACAATATTCTTAAAGAGAAAATAAATTCTTCTTTTGAGTACACGATAATGAGATTTTCTTGTGATGAGTATATTTTCAGATTATCATCAAGAATATATTCTTTGTTGAGGAAAACTATTACTTAAAAAACGAAAAATAAACTGAGCAATCGCTTTTCTTGGCAGTAGAATAATAATTTTCTCTGTGTAAACGGGTCTTTAAATTAAGATCGAGCAATGGAGTGGATAACATATTGATAATGCATCGCATGGCAACAGATTTCCTCCGAAGGGCCATCACCATCCAGACCCAACGAAAGGGAAAAAAAGCTTGAGGAGAGTCTCCGCGGAAAGGAGAAAGATACAGGGCAGGCATGTGACATGAACGAGACGCTGGTGAACGCGGGATACACGCGCAAAACATCGCCATCGCTGCACTCGACGAAACGAGACCCAGGGCGGGGAGGGTGGGAAGCAAGGAACGCTCGGCGTCATCATTACCTGGGTCTCCGGGACTGGTGCTCCTCGTATCCATATTATTTGCGATCACACGCGACACTCGGCCGTACGAAAAACTGCCATGACGGACGACGATCATCATCACAAAGCACGACGGCCATGTTTATAACTTGCGCGAGCGAACGTATCCCGTTTGCGTGCGTATCGTGTGTATCGTGCGTGTGGTAAATAAAAGCGAAGCGAGAGTCAAGCGTGGCGCCCTCCTTCCGAAGGCGCGGGATTCGAGAGCTCGAATCGCCAACGAATCGATTGCGACACAACGTCACGCGACGAACGCTCACGTTGTCAAACGTCAACGCGCGTGACGTCACGTGGCGTTGACGTTTGACCGGCCGCGAGCGCCGAGCGATTCGCCTCGAAAGAATTGCTCGCGATTGATCGTAGCGGACGATTAATTCACGATCATTTATTCACGACGGCGTCGAAATTTCTGTGTATTTATATCTGACATTCTTTGGAGAGAATAGGTGTTTTAAAAAAATGTTTCGCGGTAGAGATACATTTTAGGCACTATTCGTAGCAGTGCATTCAATCAAATCAATGCGCAGCTTCTTGCACTGTGACGTCACGGGATTAATTCATGGCAGGTAATTATCCTCGTGTCGATCGTGAAAATGTCTCTTTAGAAAAAAACGCGCGAAAGATCTCTTGATTTATTTTCTTTGCATTTTTTTTAAAGTTAAATAAAATCAGTTTAATTTATATTTTACGAGGAAGAGACAATCGATCAGTTATTTGTTATATAATACATATATGAGAGGTCTCATCTCTATCATTTTTATTCTATATACTTATTTATTATTTTATACTTCTTTCTTCAATTATATAATATATATATTTTATCATATCTTATATGAGCGACACAATTTTTTACATATTTTATATTATATGTATATAATTATATGAAACAAATTTTATAAATAAAATTATTTAATGTTATATTTATATAAAAGGAAACTTTTGTACTTAAATATTTTTAAATTATATTATTAAATAATTTTATATTATATTTTGTATTTTTCATTTTTATATATTTCTTATATTAAATATATTGGAATAAATTTACTGTAAAATAAGTTTAGAGTCTTGACTCCGTACCACCAGATACCACTATAGTTTCCCCAGTAATGTAAGAAGCATCACTACTTGCTAAAAATGCAGCTACACTTCCAATCTCATCCGGCATTCCTAGTCTTCTCATACTAATTTGTGATATAGCAACATCATAAGTTTCATCCGAGTTGTACAACTAAAATCACAATAAATTCATATATAAGAAGTTATTTCTTAACAAATCAATGGATTGAATTTAAAAATGATAATGGAAAAATACCAGTTTTGAAAACCTAGTCTTTATTATTCCTGGTGCAATACAATTTACACGAATTCCATCGGGTGCAAGGTCTCTTGCAGTAATTTTAGTTAGACCCAGTAAAGCAGTCTTGCTAATTGAATATATCCCTAGTGACTAAAAAAATGCTATATTAATAAAATATGATTTCTTATTATTAAAAGTTCCTTTAGTATCAATAAAGGATATATAAAAATAGAAAGACAAATTTTTTTAAACTCACACTATAAGGATTACTATAAGCAGCAGCTGAAGATATGATAATAATAGAAGGTGATTTACTGCATTTAAGAAGCGGCAAAGAGTCTTTTATAAGCAAGAATGTAGATTTGACATTGATATCAAAAATTTTGTCCCATACTTCCTCAGTGTTCTGTACTAATACAAAGTCAGGTGTTGGATTAACAGCTGCGTTAGATACCAGAATATCCAAACCTCCAAAATTTGCTTTTGTCTGCAATTTTTTAGAACATATGTGTGTGTTTTTAATATCCACTAATATATAATTACATTTAAATAATAAAATAATCTACTATGATATTAATTGAAGAAAAAAAATGTATTATATTAGAAAAATTTAAATATAAGTTTAAAAAAAAATTGCTACACATATATACAATTAACACTTGTTATAACTTACTTTTTCAAACAAATTTTTTCTATCTTCTGCCTTTGCCACATGGCAGACAGTACCTTCAATTTGTAATCCCTCGGACTGAAGTTCTTCCACAGCTTTTTTCACATTCGATTCCTTACGACTGCTGATCATTACTTTAGCACCTTCTTGTGCTAAACGTTTCGCTATGGAAAATCCTATTCTATGAAAATTCAAAGCATAACTTGAGCATAATATTTAGTTATATATAATTATCTTTGTAAGAATAAATAATAAAAATTTTAAATTTTTCATGGAGTGACATTTTTTTATTGTATACGAGTATGCAGAATGTTCGAGCTAACTACAAATATGATTTTCTTATATTACCCATCTGTAGATGCTGTCACCACTGCGACTTTTCCCTCTAATCGGTTGCATTTTATCGAAGAAGATGCATTAGTATGGAAAGTTCGGACATTTTGGTTTATTGCAGTACGCAACATCTTTCTCGTAAAAATCGTGAAACACAACGTTCTTCGTAATGCGATAAAATATCACGATTAATCATGACTTATAGAAATAGACTGCGCATTATCTTTCCAATTTTTAATTAATATGCAATCTCGTGATAAAAAAATATGTGATATCAGAAAGAAATCGGATAGGGGCACGTGAAAGGAAATAAGTTACTTGTTGTATAATACATACTTATATGAGAGATCTTTTCTTTTTTACTCGATATGCTTATCTATTATTTTACACTTCCTTCTTCAATTATATAATATATATACTTTATCATATCTTATATGATCGATACGACTTTATATATGTATAATTATATGAAAAATTTGATTAAAAAAATCATTTAATGTTATATTTATATCAAAGAAAATTATTTTTGTGCTTAAATATTTTTATATTTCATATATTATATTATATTATATTATATTATATTTTTTACTTTATATATATATATATAAAATATAATGTAAAATATAACATAAAAATATTTAAGCACAAAAATAAATAATTTTCTTTGATAAAACATGAAATGATTTTTTTATATATATACTACATAACGCAAAGCGCGCGTTTCGGGCGTGCCATTTATTCCCTTTTATTATATATATATATTTCTCACTGTCACACAAGCTGTCAAAATTTGTAATAATCGCAAATGACAGCTGCTCACAACATGAATTGAGCGCAATAAAAGAACCAATCGACATCGCAGAAAAGCGGCAACAATTCAAGCGTCACATGCCTTTTTTTCATATATAGGATAGGATATGATAGGATTTATATATATTTTTATATATTTTTTATATATATTTATATATATTTATATATATTTTATATATATATATATATTATATATATATATATATATATATATATATATATATATATATAAAATATTAGAACATATTCAATAAAAATAAAAAATTTTTTCTTAGCATCATTATACAAGGCTAGAGATATGTTATGTAAATAATGTATCCAGTATGTATAAAATTACTATAAAATAAGTTCAGAGTCTTGACACCATACCACCCGATGCCACTATAGTTTCCCCAGTAATGTAAGAAGCATCACTACTTGCTAAAAATGCAGCTACACTTCCAATCTCATCCGGCATTCCTAGTCTTCTCATACTAATTTGTGATACAGCAACATCATGAGATTCCTCCGATTTGTACAACTAAAATCACAACAAATTCATGAACAAGAAGTTATTTCTTAACAAATCAATGGATTGAATTTAAAAATGATAATGGAAAAATACCAGTTTTGAAAATCTAGTCTTTATTATTCCTGGTGCAATACAATTTACACGAATTCCATCGGATGCAAGGTCTCTTGCAGTAATTTTAGTTAGACCCAGTAAAGCAGTCTTGCTAATTGAATATATTCCTAGTGACTAAAAAAATGCTATATTAATAAAATATGATTTCTTATTATTAAAGGTTCCTTTAGTATCAATAAAGAATAAAATATAAAAATAGAAAGACAAATTTTTTTAAACTCACACTATAAGGATTACTATAAGCAGCAGCTGAAGATATGATAATAATAGAAGGTGATTTACTGCATTTAAGAAGCGGCAAAGAGTCTTTTATAAGCAAGAATGTAGATTTGACATTGATATCAAAAATTTTGTCCCATACTTCCTCAGTGCTCTGTACTAATACAAAGTCAGGTGTTGGATTAACAGCTGCGTTAGATACCAGAATATCCAAACCTCCAAAATTTGCTTTTGTCTGCAATTTTTTAGAACATATGTGTGTGTTTTTAATATCCACTAATATATAATTACATTTAAATAATAAAATAATTTACTATGATATTAATTGAAGAAAAAAAATGTATTATATTAGAAAAATTTAAATATAAGTTTAAAAAAAAATTGTTACACATATATACAATTAACACTTGTTATAACTTACTTTTTCAAACAAATTTTTTCTATCTTCTGCCTTTGCCACATGGCAGACAGTACCTTCAATTTGTAATCCCTCGGACTGAAGTTCTTCCACAGCTTTTTTCACATTCGATTCCTTACGACTGCTGATCATTACTTTAGCACCTTCTTGTGCTAAACGTTTCGCTATGGAAAATCCTATTCTATGAAAATTCAAAGCATAACTTGAGCATAATATTTAGTTATATATAATTATCTTTGTAAGAATAAATAATAAAAATTTTAAATTTTTCATGGAGTGACATTTTTTTATTGTATACGAGTATGCAGAATGTTCGAGCTAACTACAAATATGATTTTCTTATATTACCCATCTGTAGATGCTGTCACCACTGCGACTTTTCCCTCTAATCGGTTGCATTTTATCGAAGAAGATGCATTAGTACGGAAAGTTCGGACACTCAGGTTTATTGCAGTACGCAACATCTTTCTCGTAAAAATCGTGAAACACAACGTTCTTCGTAATGCGATAGAATATTACTAATCATGACTTATAGAAATAGACTGCGCATTATCTTTCCAATTTTTAATTATATGCAATCTCGTGATAAAAAAATATGTGATATCAGAAAGAAATCGGAGAGGGGCACGTGAAAAGAAATAAGTTACTTGTTGTATAATACATATATGAGAGATCTTTTCTTTTTTACTCGATATGCTTATCTATTATTTTACACTTCCTTCTTCAATTATATAATATATATACTTTATCATATCTTATATGATCGATACAACTTTATATGTGTATAATTATAGGAAAAATTTTATAAAAAAAATCATTTAATGTTATATTTATATCAAAGAAAATTATTTTTGTGCTTAAATATTTTTATATTTCATATATTATATTTTTTACTATATACATATATATATATATATATATATATATATATATATATATAATATAATGTAAAATATAACATAAAAATATTTCAGCACAAAAATAAATAATTTTCTTTGATATAACATTAAATGATTTTTATATATATATATATACTAGACAACGCAAAGCGCGCGTTTCGCACGTGCCATTTATTCCCTTTTATTATATATATATTTCTCACTGTCACACAAGCTGTCAAAATTTGTAATAATCGCAAATTACAGCTGCTCACAACATGAATTGAACGCAATAAAAGAACCAATCGACATCGCAGAAAAAAGCGGCAACAATTCAAGCGTCACATGCCTTTTTTTCATATAGGATATGATAGGATTTATATAAGTTTTTATATACTTTTTATATATATTTATATATATTTATATATATTTTTATATATTTTTTATATATATTATATATATATATATATATATATATATATATATAAAATATTAGAACATATTCAATAAAAATAAAAAATTTTTTCTCTAGCATCATTATACAAGGCTAGAGATATTATGTAAATAAATGTAAATATTATGTAAATATCCAGTATGTATAAAATTACTATAAAATAAGTTCAGAGTCTTGACACCATACCACCCGATGCCACTATAGTTTCCCCAGTAATGTAAGAAGCATCACTACTTGCTAAAAATGCAGCTACACTTCCAATCTCATCCGGCATTCCTAGTCTTCTCATACTAATTTGTGATACAGCAACATCATGAAATTCCTCCGATTTGTACAACTAAAATCACAACAAATTCATGTATAAGAAGTTATTTCTTAACAAAGCAATAGACTGAATCTGAAAAATGATAATGGAAAAATACCGGTTCTGAAAACTTAGTCTTTATTATTCCTGGTGCAATACAATTTACACGAATCCCATCGGGTGCAAGCTCTGTTGCAGTAATTTTAGTTAGACTCAGTAAAGCAGTCTTACTAATTGAATATATACCTAGTAACTAAAAAAATACTATATTAATAAAATATGATTTCTTATTATAAAAGGTTCCTTTAGTATCAATAAAGGATATATAAAAATAGAAAGACAAATTTTTTAAACTCACACTAAAAGGATTATAACCAGCAATTGAAGATATGATAATAATAGAAGGTGATTTACTGCATTTAAGAAGTGGCAAAGAGTCTTTCATAAGCAAGAATGTAGATTTGACATTGATATCAAAAATTTTATCCCATACTTCCTCAGCGTTCTCTAATACAAGGTCAAGTGTTGGGTTAACAGCTGCGTTAGATACTAAAATATCCAAACCTCCAAAATATGCTTTTGTCTGCAATTTTGTAGAATATATGTGAATTTTTAATATGTAGTAATATATAATTACATTTAAATGATAACATAATCTATTATGATATTAATTGGAGAACAAATGTATTATATTAGAAAAATTTAAATATAAGTTTAAAAAAAAATTGCTACACCTATATACAATTAACACTTGTTATAACTTACTTTTTCAAACAAATTTTTTCTATCTTCTGCCTTTGCCACATGGCAGACAGTACCTTCAATTTGTAATCCCTCGGACTGAAGTTCTTCCACAGCTTTTTTCACATTCGATTCCTTACGACTGCTGATCATTACTTTAGCACCTTCTTGTGCTAAACGTTTCGCTATGGAAAATCCTATTCTATGAAAATTCAAAGCATAACTTGAGCATAATATTTAGTTATATATAATTATCTTTGTAAGAATAAATAATAAAACTTTTAAATTTTTCATGGAGAGACATTTTTTTATTGTATATGCAGAATGTTCGAGCTAACTACAAATATGATTTTCTTATATTACCCATCTGTAGATGCTGTCACCACTGCGACTTTTCCCTCTAATCGGTTGCATTTTATCGAAGAAGATGCATTAGTACCGAAAGTACGAACACTTTGATTTATTGCAGTACGTAACATCTTCCTCGTAAAAGGTGTGAAATGCAACGTTTTTCGTGATGTTCACAATATTATTACAAGTCATGGCAAATTGCAACTTTTACTATATCACGTGGTAAATATATACATATATATGTTATATATATATATATATATATATATATATATATATATATATATATATATATATAAGAATGAAAGAACACGAGGCACGAGAAGAATTAAGAGGAGGCATGACTTTCAATCAAAGTAAATGTGTGATCCGAGCAAAGAACTACTTAGGGTGTGTTCCAAAATTCACTGCCAGCGCTGAAAATCTATAATTCACGTAACGTATATTATATATTTTCAGCGCTGGCAGTGAATTTTGGAACATAGGCTTACAGAATATTTAACATAAAAATAAAAATCGGATTATTTTAATAAATATTGGAAATCGCCGATATGCAATATTTATTAATGTAATTTTAAATATCATGATATTAAGAAAAGTAATATTAAATATTAATTTATTTATTGCAAAGATTTAAATAAAATCAACGTAAATTTTTGGATGTTCATAATAATTTAAAATATATATAAAAAGAAAGTTGAAATAATTTGGTAGTAAAATTTCCATCGTTGCATTATTAAAATATGAAATGCATTTAGAATAGAATTTAAGTAACTCTTAACATATCAAGTTATTTTCATAGAATGTTACAGAATATTTATAAAATTATCTCCTCTTTTTTGTCTTTTAAATTTTATATTGAACTATATTATTTTTATAGATGTACATCTGTAGAATTTTATTAACAATAACAAATTGATGAAGATGAATATTTTAACATAATTTAAATTTTTTCAAAGAGCAGTTATGATAATTCTTTATAAAATATTTTTTATAAATATAATCAAAAAGGGGGAAATAACTTTCTTTACAGACGGATATAATAGCTCAAAGCGTTTTCCACTTTCGTTTTTGATGTATATTAATTTCCTTGACATTTTCTATATAAATAACGTTTTTATAAAATAAATAAGAAATTTTTCGGTCACATTTCTATCAGGCATTCCTCTTTTTTTCATATTCTGAATATGCACTCTTACGATTACAATATTTTTCTTTCAAAAACTTTGTAAAATAATCAAGTCACTTATTCCACATTAATATTCTTTTTAATATGAAGTGCAGTATTTGTTAATAAACAATTCTACTCTTATAAGTTTTTTGGAGATTTACACATATATTAATAACTCTCGCAGTTTTTTCAAGTAGATATTTTCTATCTTTTCCATTCATTTAGTATTTCAAGAGTTGATACTAATTTGATGGCATCAGCATATAACATCTACTACAATATAACATTACATATAGTAATGTAAAATAATATAAAACAAGTAGAATATCTGTTCTATTTCATAGAAAAAACCATTTCAATGTCATCATGATTTTGTTACTAAGTTTGGTAAAAAAAAACTTACTATTATTTATCAAATACATCGCTCTCGCATATCTTTTAAATTGACTAGATTAAGTTAATATATAACAACTTTGTTTACTAAACAATAAATATGGGTGATAAGTGATAACAAAGAAGTCAAGCAAGCGAATAATTTACATTTCAGAGTATAAGAAAATTGAGAATAAATTGTATATGCTTTTCAACTTCTTATAAATCTCACTACTAATTTGTGTGTGTGTGTATTATATACATTCACATCATAATAATTAAAAATATCGTTATGTCTCACGTAAATAGAATTAGGCTCATCCATATAAATTCGACTGGATCCGATATATTATCTACACAAGATTTGCAAAAACATTTATACTAATTCGGGCGACTTTATAAAATAAGTGCACGAACACTTAAAAAATATCTGTGTCGTTATATTTAAAATATTTTCGCGTCTGAATGAAATAATGTCCGTGCCGAATCATTTGTAACATTCACATACATATGTTGATCACTCACAATATCAATGACATTGATGTCACGGATTTGCTTATCTCGATTTTATTCGCATTATTCGTTCATGGCACAATGTATGCAATATGATAAAATATGCAATATGATGGAACATGCGCCTCATTCGCATAATCCACAATTTGCAGTCTTAAAACTTTAAAAAAGCACCATTATGTACATGATGTGTATAGAGATGATAGCTTCGCATTACAGTATATTTACAAAATGAAAGTAATCGCGTGTAAACGTAATGTATACATAGCCGCTAAATACATCATACATGTTTTCTTTTAAAAAAAAAAGCGTGCATTAATTCAGAGAAATGCCTTGTATCCACGAACTGAGATCACTAGTGTCCTCGCAGCTAAGATTCAACGCGTGCTTCTCGCTCTGTTTGACGCCTAAGAGTAATTCAGCAGCCGTTCGACCGGTCAAGTATGCTCCGTGTACCGTGCTGTAGAACGAGGAATGAGTGTGTTCACCCGCGAATGCCACCAAAACATTAGCCGTTCCGTCCGTCTCATCTTCCTTCTCCTGGATCAACGGCTCGGCCAAACTTCTGATGTCCAACTGACTCGCTCCGACAGCCATCGCGGTGTAGGAACCTCGCGTGAAGGGTTGCGAATGCCACGTGGTGCGTAGGCAGCTTTTCGGAGTCGGTACGAAAGGATCGTTGAGGAATCGCCGCAGAATCGTTGTGCACACTTCCGCCACTTCCGTTGTACTCAGTTTCTCCATGTATTCGGCCGCGCGACCGGATATCCAACCGAGCAGCAACGTATCCGAGATTTTAATGAACGAGTATATCTTCCTGAACCAGGTCTTGCTAATGTCCCGCTTGTCTGCTTCAGGCAACCGCTCGTCGTCCCAAAGGAGCATCACCTCCGAGACACCGGGATTCAGGAAAGGTCGTTCGTATTCGAGAAAGATTTTATTCACTGTACCGAACATCAGTCTGTTTATCGCCTCGAGTTTATAAGCCGGCAACGATGGTTCAAACAAGTCCGAAGCTGTCCTTTTCAAAACGCCCAACGGTAATGTACATACTACGTGTTCCGCGGTAATCGTCTTTCCGTTTTCACATTGTACTTCTATAAGGCTATTCGATTTAGAATCGGAGTTTCCCGCAGGATCGACGTCTTTCTGGGGACGCCACCTAAAATAGACGATTTTATAGCACCAGGACATATCCAGCACATTTGCCATAACTCAATCATCAATAACTGCAAAACTCACCTAATCTTTGTCACAACATGCCGGGTAAGAATACAACTCTTTGGTATGTGCTTCGAAACAGGTTCCAATATAGCACTGTATCCGTTTGGAAGACTAATATTTCCGCCTTGAAGCTCGTCGTAGGAGCCCATTTCCAGGAGGTCCACTTCGTCCATGCTGTCGCAGCCTGTAACGCAGGTCTCTCTCTTGAGCAGACAATCAAAGATCAGTTGTCTCACTCGTCGTTGTTCAAATGGCAAGGACGAAAGATATATCTCCGCTTCCAATGCAATGTGCGCCCCTACGCTAGTTATACCATCTGGAGGAGTATATGTGCTTAGAAAATATTCTTCGCATCGTCTCAAAAAGCACACATAAGCCTCGTAAATCTCCCGCAAGACGGGAAATGGTAATTGTTTCCCATCCTCCAGTGCAGCCACTACTTTATGAGGTTTCGGCACGTGTACGATATCTATTAAACCATTTGCCATCGCTAGTTCAAACATGGGATTACCTAGTACACCATGGATCCAATTTGCCCCTAATTCAACGTTTTCATTGCCTAGACAAAAAGATATAGTAAAAAATTGTATTATTTTCTCATTCATTTTTTTAAGTAATAAGGATTCACAATATCATTGTGTTTTTATATAGAGTAACTCTTTTAATATTATAATCTCTTTGTTTCAAAATATTAAATAAGAATATTATATGTATAATGATAATTAAAGTATATTATTAATATATTATATTATATAATTATAATATTAATATATGTATAATGATATAAAGATGAATCCAAAAGATTCATGTTTTTGTTTTATCAAGATTTATTAAGTATAAATCTCTTTTGCTCTATTTTTTATTTAAGAAACATACTTTGAAAATTAATTTTGCCAAAATAATTGACAAAAAAAGTTATCCTCTAAAATTATACATTTTACTAATTATCATTATATATATAATTTTAATTTGCTCCAAAAAACAGATACTTTTTTCTTCTCTTGCATAGCATGGTTTCATATATTCTGTGCCTAATTTTTTTACATCATTATTAATTTCTATCACAAATTTCCAAAGTAAACAAACTTAAATGTTTAAGTATATTTCACGATTATAATTGCATTGTGGAGTATGTCCCATACACATTGTTACTTTGAAAATTAATTTTGCCAAAATAATTGACAAAAAAGTTACCCTATATAAAATTAAATTCTACTAATTAACATTATACATATAACTTTAATTTGCTGCAAAAACCTGATACTCTCTTCTTTTCTTGCACAGCGTGGTTTCATATATTCTATGCCTAATTTTTCTACATCATTAATTTATATCACAAATTTCCAAAGTAAACAAACTTAAATGTTTAAGTATATTTCACGACTATAATTGCGGAGTACGTCCTATACGCATTGTTATTTTGAAAATTAATTTTGCCAAAATAATTGACAAAAAAGTTACCCTATATAAAATTAAATTCTACTAATTAACATTATACATATAACTTTAATTTGCTGCAAAAACCTGATACTCTCTTCTTTTCTTGCACAGCGTGGTTTCATATATTCTGTGCTTAATTTTTCTACATCATTAATTTATATCACAAATTTTCAAAGTAAACAAACTTAAATGTTTAAGTATATTTCACGACTATAATTGCGGAGTACGTCCCATACGCATTGTTATTTTGAAAATTAATTTTGCCAAAATAATTGACAAAAAAGTTACCCTATATAAAATTAAATTCTACTAATTAACATTATACATATAACTTTAATTTGCTGCAAAAACCTGATACTCTCTTCTTTTCTTGCACAGCGTGGTTTCATATATTCTATGCCTAATTTTTCTACATCATTAATTTATATCACAAATTTCCAAAGTAAACAAACTTAAATGTTTAAGTATATTTCACGACTATAATTGCGGAGTACGTCCTATACGCATTGTTATTTTGAAAATTAATTTTGCCAAAATAATTGACAAAAAAGTTACCCTATATAAAATTAAATTCTACTAATTAACATTATACATATAACTTTAATTTGCTGCAAAAACCTGATACTCTCTTCTTTTCTTGCACAGCGTGGTTTCATATATTCTGTGCTTAATTTTTCTACATCATTAATTTATATCACAAATTTTCAAAGTAAACAAACTTAAATGTTTAAGTATATTTCACGACTATAATTGCGGAGTACGTCCCATACGCATTGTTATTTTGAAAATTAATTTTGCCAAAATAATTGACAAAAAAGTTACCCTATATAAAATTAAATTCTACTAATTAACATTATACATATAACTTTAATTTGCTGCAAAAACCTGATACTCTCTTCTTTTCTTGCACAGCGTGGTTTCATATATTCTGTGCCTAATTTTTCTACATCATTAATTTATATCACAAATTTCCAAAGTAAACAAACTTAAATGTTTAAGTATATTTCACGACTATAATTGCGGAGTACGTCCCATACGCATTGTTATTTTGAAAATTAATTTTGCCAAAATAATTGACAAAAAAGTTACCCTATATAAAATTAAATTCTACTAATTAACATTATACATATAACTTTAATTTGCTGCAAAAACCTGATATTCTCTTCTTCTCTTGCATAGCGTGGTTTCATATATTCTGTGCCTAATTTTTCTACATCATTAATTTATATCACAAATTTCCAAAGTAAACAAACTTAAATGTTTAAGTATATTTCACGACTATAATTGCGGAGTACGTCCCATACGCATTGTTATTTTGAAAATTAATTTTGCCAAAATAATTGACAAAAAAGTTACCCTATATAAAATTAAATTCTACTAATTAACATTATACATATAACTTTAATTTGCTGCAAAAACCTGATATTCTCTTCTTCTCTTGCATAGCGTGGTTTCATATATTCTGTGCCTAATTTTTCTACATCATTAATTTATATCACAAATTTCCAAAGTAAACAAACTTAAATGTTTAAGTATATTTCACGACTATAATTGCGGAGTACGTCCCATACGCATTGTTATTTTGAAAATTAATTTTGCCAAAATAATTGACAAAAAAGTTACCCTATATAAAATTAAATTCTACTAATTAACATTATACATATAACTTTAATTTGCTGCAAAAACCTGATATTCTCTTCTTCTCTTGCATAGCGTGGTTTCATATATTCTGTGCCTAATTTTTCTACATCATTAATTTATATCACAAATTTCCAAAGTAAACAAACTTAAATGTTTAAGTATATTTCACGACTATTATTGCGGAGTACGTCCCATACGCATTGTTATTTTGAAAATTAATTTTGCCAAAATAATTGACAAAAAAGTTACCCTATATAAAATTAAATTCTACTAATTAACATTATACATATAACTTTAATTTGCTGCAAAAACCTGATACTCTCTTCTTTTCTTGCACAGCGTGGTTTCATATATTCTGTGCCTAATTTTTCTACATCATTAATTTATATCACAAATTTCCAAAGTAAACAAACTTAAATGTTTAAGTATATTTCACGACTATAATTGCGGAGTACGTCCCATACGCATTGTTATTTTGAAAATTAATTTTGCCAAAATAATTGACAAAAAAGTTACCCTATATAAAATTAAATTCTACTAATTAACATTATACATATAACTTTAATTTGCTGCAAAAACCTGATACTCTCTTCTTTTCTTGCACAGCGTGGTTTCATATATTCTATGCCTAATTTTTCTACATCATTAATTTATATCACAAATTTCCAAAGTAAACAAACTTAAATGTTTAAGTATATTTCACGACTATAATTGCGGAGTACGTCCTATACGCATTGTTATTTTGAAAATTAATTTTGCCAAAATAATTGACAAAAAAGTTACCCTATATAAAATTAAATTCTACTAATTAACATTATACATATAACTTTAATTTGCTGCAAAAACCTGATACTCTCTTCTTTTCTTGCACAGCGTGGTTTCATATATTCTGTGCCTAATTTTTCTACATCATTAATTTATATCACAAATTTCCAAAGTAAACAAACTTAAATGTTTAAGTATATTTCACGACTATAATTGCGGAGTACGTCCCATACGCATTGTTATTTTGAAAATTAATTTTGCCAAAATAATTGACAAAAAAGTTACCCTATATAAAATTAAATTCTACTAATTAACATTATACATATAACTTTAATTTGCTGCAAAAACCTGATACTCTCTTCTTCTCTTGCATAGCGTGGTTTCATATATTCTGTGCCTAATTTTTCTACATCATTAATTTATATCACAAATTTCCAAAGTAAACAAACTTAAATGTTCAAGCAATATGAAACATTCACGATTATAATTGCGGAATATATCGCATTCATATCATATCGTGGAGCAAATTAATTCGAAAACAAATCACACAAATACCGTCGAGGAGAGGTTAGGCCAACCGTACCAATTGGAGCAGCAACGATTCGTCCGCCTATTCGTCCGCGCGCCTCGACGATAAGAAAATCCGTCTCGCTGTTCTTCAATAAGTGAGTCGCCGCCGACAGCCCGGCCATACCGGCACCGATAATCAGAATTTTGCACGAGAGTCGGTCATCCTCCGAATTATTTGTGGATTCCGCCATGTTCGTCACATATGACCGATCTGACCGATATCGGTTATCCATAGACGTAGGAAGAGATCCTCCTGCGTTCCAACATTCATTCAGATTGTCAGTGAAATTCACTGAAAATCTATAGTTTATGTATACGCATTTATAAAGCCCGTATTAGGCTAAAGGTGCGGCCTCATTGACGCTAAAAAGTAGCGTCAACCATTGGTTGAACAATGAAGCAACTATACTTACCTCCTTGTTCAACCAATGGTTGACGCTACTTTTTAGCGTCAATGAGGCCGCATCTTAAAGATGCAATTCTGAAGATGCGGCCCATTGACGCTAAAAAGTAGCGTCAACCATTGGTTGAACAAGGAGGTAAGTATAGTTGCTTCATTGTTCAACCAATGGTTGACGCTACTTTTTAGCGTCAATGAGGCCGCATCTTAAAGGTGCAATTTCATTGACGCTAAAAAGTAGCGTCAACCATTGGTTGAACAATGAAACAACTACTTACTTCTTTGTTCAATCAATGGTTGACGCTACTTTTTAGCGTCAATGAAATTGCACCTTAAAGGTGCAATTTCATTGACGCTAAAAAGTAGCGTCAACCATTGATTGAACAATGAAGCAACTATTTACTTCTTTGTTCAACCAATGATTGACGCTACTTTTTAGCGTCAATGAAATTGCACCTTTTGTCGTACGACAAATTTTTTAAGCACACTGATTGCAACTGCTGCAGAATAGAAAATTTTTAAAGATTTAAAAAATTATTATCCCGCAACCAATCAATGTGCTTAAAAAATTTGTCGTACGATAAATGTAATATTAGCTTTAGGACGCATTCACATCTTGGCAGAAAAACGGGAAACAGAAAAGCAGGAACCAATCACAATTCGCACTGGTAGTAAACAGTACATGCTGCTCTTCTGTGATTGGTTCCTGCTTTTCTATTGCTGCGGCAGGGGTGCCACCCGATTGATTCGTCGCTAATTGGCCAATTCACAATAGGACTCTCTGATTGGTCAATGCTGGTTACCCTAGGCACAGGTCAATATAATTGGCTGTACTCAATCGCAACGTGGTCAAACGGAATACTTCCTGGCGGTAGACACGAAGCGGGATCTTATATCATATTTATTAAAGAACATGTTTTTTAATAAAATCTTTTTTTATTTAAAATAATATATCTATATTCCGGAATATAGAGATAAAATGAGAATGGATGAATGAATGAAAATAAAAATGTATTGTAAACCAAGTCGATCCGAAGCTGAAAGGCATGATAATATAAATATAAGGATAAAATAAATATAATATAAATATAAGGATAAAATAAATATAAAATTTCAATAAAAAGTAATTATAGAAATTCAATAAAGAATAAATTATAGAATGTCAATAAGAAAGTTACAATAAGAAAGTTTTAAATACAAAATTAATTTCCTAAAATACATATTACATAATTACATATGCAAAAGAATTAGTTTATATAGTTATTTTTTAGGACTTATTTTTTCTTTTATCTCTTGAAGAAAAATTATTATATTATTATATTTTTCTCAAAATTTTTTTAAATGCATCTAAATATTAAAAAAAAACCGTAATATATATTGAAACCCAAACACAATGCTATCACCCTATAAAAAATATACAGTACATAATATGTATCATAGAACTTATATATTTGTGTGAAGAAGTAATTACTTCAAGGAATTTTCTAAAAATAAAGTAATAATTCTGTAATATACAATGTATATTATTTTTTTTTATATTTAGATTTTTATTTCAGAAATAACAGCCATAATACCTAAGAATAAAAAAAGTAAATAAATAACAATCATACTGTTCTCTATACAAGCAGGACAGCATTAATGCATCCATCATTTTCAGGATTATTCGTAACTTGTGCAAATTTCCCCCATACTACTTTGCCTGACTGTGTTACAAGACCTAATTCCGAGATATTAATTTCGATAATAGTTCCTTTCGTGATAACGCCTAAACTCGTATAAAGAGGAGAGCTCGGATTCTTTTTGACACCGATTATTGGCAGGGAAAACGTTGCCTTTAACTCCGGATGAGTGACGTGAGCAGTTTTGAATCTCAATGCCATTGGCCTGATGAATCTTTCAAACTTGGGTGGTTTCCTCGTGAAGTTTTCTCCAACAAAGGTCACTTTAGTTACCATTCTCTTCCAGGATTTTCGCTTCGATTTCCCACTTCTCAATACTTTAAAAACTTCGGACTCTGACTGAGCCCTTACTTTAGGAATGGGAACATCCCATTTGCCAACCTTTTCTTTACGTTTTTGCTTTATCATATTGGATAGTACTTTTGCACGATTGGTAACATTACGATCCAGCAGATATACAGGTAACGCTCCGTCTGGTAGTTTATCAGATTTCTCTTTGACCTTCTTCTCCTCGTGTGCTCTAATTTTCTTTTTCATCTGAATCTTTTCATTCCGTCTCTCTTTATTGAAGATCTTGGCCTTTATACCGCGTAAAGTACGAGCTTGCTCCGCTCGTTTGTGAGGTGCTCGAGCCTCTCTCTTCCTCTTTCTCTCCTCATAATCCAATCGCCGACCGTAGAGTTTACGGTGCCTCTCAATATATTCGTTCTGCGGCATTTTTCTATGTAATTTTTTGTTCTCACAATGGATTAATTTCTTCTGAAAAAGAAGTTATTATTTGAATTATTTCATGCGAGGGAAATAGAAGCTATTCATCCAAGTCATCAAAGAAAGTGTTTTGAAGAATATTAAAATGTTGTCTTTGCTGAAGTTACAATAATAAATATACTCTGTATTTAATTGAAATACATAGATATATTGGGAAGACCGACACATGATTGGAAACACATTTGTCGCGTTTGGCCATGTGTTCTCAGTTACTTTCGCTGTATCGACATTTATAAAACGAATAAATTGTCAGAAATCTCGATAAAATTTCGATGCTTAGAAATAAACGTAGTAGCGTCATGTTCGGGCTTTTTTTTTAATTACAGAAAACTACATCAAAACCTACCTTTGATCTAGCAAAAAAATGAGAGGTGTCACAGTCCGCTTTTAAGCGATCCTAGAATCCTGTATAAAGGACTATGTAAATTCCATATAAATCCTTGGTACAGAATTCTAGGCGATCCTCTGAAAACGATATGCTCTGTCGATATTAAAAACCATAGACCTTATAAGTATGGACTGGCAATACGTATCAGACTGTGTCCGGAGGAGGTTAGAGAGAGAAACATCTTTTTGGTACTTCTCTTTCTACAAGTGTCCGGAAATACGTTTTGCGCATGCACCTGACATATACTATACAATAAAACATTCTGATTGATGTATATGTGTATGTGTATATGTATTATTGCAGAGAGAACATAATATTGAGGTTGTGTCTCTGAAGTCTCAGAAAGTCTCTGTATTTAATATTAATTTAATTATTTTAATAAAGATTAACAATAATGGTTCGAAGATGTATTGTTTGTGATATAACGTATTCATCAAAAAATAGTGTTTCTTTTTACTCGTAAGTATTAATGAAACAAATCGTAATGTCATAAAGTGACATTCTATAAAAACAGTACAAGAAAGAAAAACATCAAAAATTTCAGTTTTCCAACAAATGAAAAATATAAAAAATTATGGATGGATGTGTGCAATATAAGTGAAATCACGAAAGAAAGCAGAGTATGTTCACGTCACTTCAGTTCATCTCATTTGCAATGGACTAATAGATCTCGAAAAATTTTACAACCAAATGCAATTCCATTATTATTTCTTGGAAAAAGAAAAAAGTATCTAAAAAGGTAATATAAGATATAATAAATATAATATAAAGACGAAAAAAATGTAATATGCAATTTTAATCGCTACAGAAAAGTTATGTTCTATATCTTATTAAAAAATGTTATTAATAATGTTTAGAAAAACCACTTTTCCAAAAAATTTTGCTTCAATAATATATATTTATTATTTTAGTATACAAAAACAATGTTTGACTGTTTCAAATAATTTATTTCTTGATAAATCATATTATAAACTTAATCTAGCTTATTTAAAACTGACATGCGCAATGCATACTTCCGGACACTTGTAGAAAGAGAAGTACTAAAAAGTATGTTTCTCTCTCTAACCTCCTCCGGATACTGCTTCTCTACAGAAACTATAGGCAATTGCCAGTCCATATCTGTAAGGTCTATGTTAAAAACATGAACATGAACTACGAGGACAAATCCACGTCAGAGAGAAGACTGAGAGGTGTTATGGCCCGCTTTTAGGTGATCCCTGAAAGCGATACTCCCTCTGTTAATTTAAAAAACGTGGACATGAACTACAAAGCCAAAGTCCACGAAAGTTCTCAGAGGGTAACATATATGTGCACAATTTCTGATTATGTTCCGTGCTATGTAAAAAATGCCTGTAGTACACGAAATGCCATCAGTGCTGTATAGCAAAACGCATATGTATATAAATAAATTTTTAATTTTAATTTTTTAAATAAATTTTGTGGTCCTCTCTCTCTCCCTCTCTCTCTCTCTCTCTCTCTCTCTCTCTCTCTCTCTCTCTCTCTCTACACATACACAAATAAACACACACACACACACACATATATAATATATATATGTATATATAGTATGACGCTACAACTTTATTCTGAAATATTTGCGTTTAGAAATATATATATATATATATATATATATATATATATATATATATATATATTCGAAAAATATAGATGTTGCAAAATATTTTAAATATCTCTTCCTTTATATAAAATATAAAGAATTTATATGTTCTATTCTAATATAGTCAACATTATTTATATACTTTTATTATAATTTTCTTACCAGCATAATATTTTTATGCTTAATATTTTATATAATATAATGTACTAAATTATAAAATTTAATATACAAAATATTACAAAATAGTATTATTATTAATAAATAGATTGCACACTGTCTTTTAGTTTCTAATTATTTTCAATCATTATACATTTCTATCCAATAGAAATCTCCTCTTCTTCGAGTTCTTGGATTATTATGGTTTATTGTAATTTTTTGTGTTAAAATTATAAAAATTATCATCATTTGTGTCATGCTTATTCCTTCCTATGGAGTCCATCGAAATACTTTCTATTTGTTCTCAGATATAGATATTCAAATCACTGTAGTTGCCTTTTTCTCGATTATTCCCTTTTTCTTTCATTTTATTTAAAAATATTAATATAATTAATATAACAAATATTTATATAATTTTGGTATTTCTCTTAGTCTGACATTTCCCCTTCGACATGTCCGGCATAGATGACGCTATCAATAACTATGATCGGTATTCATTACTCACTTTTATATTTAAGATCGTACTTAAAATTATCTTAAATATAAGAAAAGTCTATACGAATATCGGTGTATGTTAACCGCCGGCATAGCTCTCAGGCTCATTAAAATACTCAAACCTCCTCAGCCGGCAAATGCCTTCCTTAAGATGGAGATATCATCGAGAAGGCAAAATTTTTCATTTTCTTTCACTACAGAATTTAATACAAAAAGTTAATATAAAATATAATATTATATAATTTGAAATGTAATACAAAATAAATTAACAATCCTTTTTTTTTTACGTGGGGAAAAAAACTCTCTTAGAAAATACTTAAAAAATATTGATCCCTTAAAAATTCTTAATATTAATAATATAATTATTGAAATATTTATTAATATGTTTTCCTTAATATTATTTAAACCTACATTTCCTGATTCTTTAAAAGATACATAATATAAAATCAGCTAAATTAATCACATAATAGCCCTAACAATCCTTTACTTTTTGAAAGGAAAATTAAAAAAATCTTAATGATCACCTAATAGCCCTAACAATCCTATTTCTCAATTAAATGAAATTATTCGAGGGAAGCCTATCTCTAATCACGTATACTTTAATTACGTGCCCTAATTACATTCTCTAACGGCATGCCCTAACCGCGTGAATAAATGTGCGACATTACGTACTATTGTACGTAAGCTTTATATTACAAATATCTAAAAAAAATAATTTTCTTAATATCTTCGATATTAAACTTTAATAATATAAGCTGTTTAGATAAATTTATATAAATAAAATTAATGAAATACAATTAATGAAATTATATATATCTCAAAATATATATAAATATATAAATTTTATAAAAATTATTACTTAAATTAAAACTTTAAATACATAAATACATAAATACACAAACATCTATATATAAGAAAATAAACATATAAATTTTATATAAAAATTATTATAATTTAAACTAAAACCTTAAATGTATATATAAGTATATAAATATATAAATTTTGTAAAAATTACTATTTAAATTAAAACCATAAATATATAAATAAATGAATATATAAATTTTCGAAAAAGTTATTATTTAAAAATATTATTTAAATTAAAATTTTTTTTGAAATTTTAATAATAAATCTTTTCCTATAAATTCTATTCATTCTTTCATATTTCTATTTTTTAATATCATTCTTAATTCTATTTTAAATCTTTCAATTTCTATATTTAAAAAAAATAACTTATAAATTCATAAATAAAAATAACTTATAAATTTAATTAAAAAAAATAACTTATAAATTCATAAATATACGAAATTTATTATTCATATTACTAAAAAATAGCTTAATATATAAATTTGTATTTTAAATTTTTCATTTAAAATTTCGTATTACATAAAAGTACATAAATTTCGTATTACATAAGTACATAAAATTTCGCAAAAAAATTCGTATTACTATACAAATTATTGAGTGTTAACAATTTAATTTTCATCCTTATATAAATAAAATACCTATAAAAAAACACTGAAAAAATATTGATCCCTTAAAAATTCTTAATATTAATAATATACGTGGGTCGTTTGATAAGTTTGGTAAATTTCCGTGAAATTCAACGAGTATTTTGCAAGTTTTGAGACAGTCTATTTTTTCGACGGTTAAAAAGTTGGAATCTCGTTCGACCAAGTGTATAGACCTCAATGGAGACTATGTTGAGAAATAACGTAGATTTTTTCCAAAACAATGTGTTTTACATGCTTTTTTACCAAATTTATCAAACGACCTTCGTAATTATTGAAATATTTATTAATTTGTTTTCCCTAATATTATTTAAACCTACATTTCCTGGTTCCTTAAAATATTATTATTTAAACTTAAAATATTATTATTTAAAATATTATTATTTAATATTATTTAAACCTACATTTCCTGGTTCCTTAAAAGATACATAATATAAAATCAGCTAAATTAATCACATAATAGCCCTAACAATCCTCTACTTTTTGAATGGAAAATTAAAAAATCTTAATGATCACCTAATAGCCCTAACAATCCTATTTCTCGATTAAGTGAAATTATTCGAGGAAAGCCTATCTCTAATCACGTATATTTTAATTACGTGCCCTAATTACATTCTCTAACCGCATGCCCTAACCGCGTGAATAAATGTGCGACATTACTATTGTACGTAAGCTTTTCTTCAGGCCAATTGAACTTACTTTTCGTTGATTCTGGCCACTTTCTCGCTCGATCTCTAATCAGAGATCGAAAAAGGAGATAAACACTCTTTCTTTTGCCGATTAATTACCGGCAAATGAGCGTAAATATTTCACGCTCATCGCTCGATTTTACGATCGTTTCTTAAATATTTGAATATAACTTTATTTTAACTCAAATAAAGCCAAATTACTACAAATTTCTATATACTATATTTTCTAATAAAATATAAAATTCATGTATGTGTATAACTTTTATGATATTACAAATTATTTACTTAATTAATCGTTTGGCTTTATTTTAAGTTAAAGTAAAATTTAAAAACAATATCTACAAACAAATTCTACAATGGATGAGCTATGATATAAGAAATTAGAATAAAATAAGTGCGCGTTATAAGAATAAAGTAGTATCAAAAATTGATAAAATTGTTAAAATTATTAATGCGTGCTCTTGATTTAATAAACTAGTCAAGACTTTATAAAAAAAATTTTCTTTTCTTGATTCTCTTTTTTAAATTAATACTTCAATATATTTTCGCAATAGATGCAAAGCATTTCGAAAGAATTTATTAAAAGTTATTTAATTTAATCTATCCTAGCTCATCCATTTTAAGGCAACGGACTTACTCTACAATCTACAATCTACAATCTACAATCTACAATCTACAATCTACATCTACAATCTCTACGAATCCCTTTCCTTAAAATTAAATAAAAGTTTTTCTCACTCACCGACACTGATGCGCAACAGCGGAATTATATTTATCGAAGCTACGTTGTCTGTAACATACAAATTCATTTATATTAATGCTCACAAAATGCAATCAATATTTCAAAAAATTTTTATTGCGCGGAATTTTATATCCGATGTATAAAATAATAAGCAGAGATAAACACGTGTGGAAAAATTTTATAAAATTTTAAAACTGTTTTTTAAGAAAGTTTTTTAAAAAGTTTTATATAACTTTTATAAAAATCTTTCTCTCTAATTTTCTCTTTAATTCATTTAAATAATAAGATCGAATTATTATGCGTACGATTTATAACAATTGATATACAAATAATAAATATTCACCATCAGGTTGCTCCGCCGATGCAAGATGCCTCTCCCAGGCCTCCTCCTTCTCTCATGTTGTTGACGCGCGATACTTTCAACGGCACTCCCGCACTCACGAGCGATATTTTTATATCGCTATTTTCGTTATTTTACGCGCGATACTAAACGGCACTCCCGCACTAATTCGGTACGATTAAAAATTTTGTCGCGCGATGTATATATTTAATATATATATACTTTGTCCGACACTCCCGGTTTCGGTACGAGCGAAAATCCCATTTCATTTCGCGAGAATCAATTTCGAGCCAACAGATCGGGAATGCAACGATACAACGAGCAAAGATTAGGCCCGAACCGGAAAGAAGACGAAACGATTGACGGAATAGAGGAAAATAAAGTTCACCAGCTCTTTTTCGCGCATAATTATCCTATCTCGTATCGAACCTGGACCCGCTAAGCACGATTTCAAGTGACCCGCACGGATGCTATATCACTAGCGCAGTACACAAGGCTGATAGACGGTAAAAGAAGAGGATACCCACATTTTTTAAAAGCTAACATTCAGCAATTTAGAAAATGGGGAGGCAACCCCTTTTACCGAGCGAAAATCGCGCCTAGGGGAATCCACTCGACTCCTCGACAGGGTTAACACACGCTAGGCGTGTGGCTGTAGAGTAGACGAGCAAAGAGAAGGGACCCATTGACGACCATTCCGATCAATCGATCGAGTTCTAACCGATTCGGGCCAAATCAATTGACGAAGCAGAGCGTGTTCATCACTAAGCCGATCGAGCGCGAAGCTCGAACCCGCGCGCCCATGTACATTTTATACTGGACATACGTTCTGCGCGGCCGG